AATTTATTTAGATTTGCCTCGACACAATCTGCCACAATTATTAGATGCTCCTCTAAATGTGAGACAGGATATGTGGTTCCTACATGATGGGGCTCCACCACACTGTAGAGGAGAAGTTCATGAACATCTAAATAATGAGTGTTCGAATAGATGGATAGGGCGTTATGGACCTATTTCTTGGCCTGCTCGCTCCCCGGATTTAACGCCTTGCGATTTTTTTCTGTTGGGCTTTTTGAACGAGTTGGTGAATCATGATAGTAAATACTCTGGAAGAATTTCGACAGCGCACTGAAAATGCTTGTGATTTAATTCGTGGACACCAGGATTTTATGTTCGAAGCTTGGGACCCATTTAACTTGATCAGGTTTTTTAAATAATTTTCAATAGTGCAATCTAACTCTATTACGCAACTTTTATATAGGTAATTTTTGGTATATCAACGTCTTTTGACGAGTTCAACACCTCCTGTACAATAATACTTTCCAAATGTCTATGGAAACATTTTTGCACTCGGTCAACAGCATTTCTGCTAATTTTAGAAAACTGGTTTGCTGGACTACCGGCGTGATGGAGGCAGTGTCGTAGAAGTGACGCTGTTGCATTGGATTAAAACACAATTTTTTAGATGAATCAATATTTATGCCAAGCACCGTCGCCCTGGCTCTACCACCAAATGCCTATTTATTTTTTCAATATGGAACAATTTTATACGGGTTAACTAAAGGTAACTAAGCAGCTTTTCCAACGGGACCAACCGCGGAAAGCAAGTAGAGTAACTACCATTTTCAAGATCAAGTACAACTTTGAAGTCTGAGAATCTGGAAGACTTGGTAGTAGTAGAAGATAGAGTAATTTATGAAGTTCCAAATAATCAGAAGGATTTAAATGCGTCATATGATTGAGCGATTGATACAATCAATTCTCATTTAATCGTTTTTATAATTTATGAAAGCATTTTCCAATGACCTTGAAAGCACTGATTGGTAATGTCTTCAAGGTACTGAAATTACAAAACGGCAACCTATCCATTTCGTGTCTTGTGTGATGATATAGGTACATAAAATGTGTTTCACCATTCGTTTCACGAAATTCCGGTTCATGCAATCCTACTTTCCCGTCGGGACTTTCTCACAAAGAGGTTAACTGGTGCTGAAAATCATGGATCACAGAAAGCAGCAAGATTGCAACCAACCTTTCTTTGCTGGTAGGATATAGACTTAGTTGCCCCCTTATACTACCTTCCGCAGAATAGGTTTTAAAGTGAAGGTATTCTCTTGAGTCACTCGACAGGGCCACTGGAAAGCATCTCAAATCTATGTAGCAAGGTAATGTTCGCGCATGTTTTGAAAAGAAAAAAACAAGCCACACTTTTTTGAGAAACAGTTCCCCATTAGGTATATTTTATTTCTCAAGCTGAAATCGGGGCAGGCATATGCTCCCCCTTGCCCCGCCTAATGGGCCTCCATGATCAGTGATTTTATTTCCAAATTACACTCTGCATTTGCTACCAAACCATTTTCATTGAGCCAAGATACCATAACCACATTCGTAGTTTCTATGCCCAACCGGTTACAAAATTGTTCCTTTATGTAATTACATTACCCTAGGCTATACCGTGCGCATCTAGCAGGGTCTTCCATCCTTGTCCAACAATTCCCGCCAACAACGATGGCGCGAATGAAGATAAGTACGTAGTACGCTCTTGCTACGGCCGGATTGGTTGTGGACTTTCGGACCCTCAAGGCTACTTCCTGCGGCGGTGCCGGCTCTTGTTCTGTTTTAGCATTTCCTACCGAAAAATTGTGTTCTAATATCCACAATTTACCAGGTACGCTCATATTTATTTTACGGATATAGATCTCAGTCTTTCTATCGTTGAATGTGTAAACAAGTCGTATGACACATCATACATAGGACCGCATTTTATATAAAACATTTTTTCTCGAGGCTTCATTAAAAAGATACGGGGTGTTGAAATTTAAAAATAAAGTCATTCAGAATTTTTGAACATATATTGAAATAAAGCTTTGATTATATAATTTGTTTTCTTTTATTTTTACGAAAACAATGCTTTGTAGAAAAAAACACAAGAGTAATTATTTGTAGCAAATTGAAGGTGGAATTGGTTTCGAAAAAAAAAACAGTGGTGTACTATTTTTATTTGGAAAAATAATGCAAATGCAAATAATCCTCTGTATCTCCGCCAACTGTGCACGTTAATTTAAAGTAAATACTTTTGAATGTGGACAATAGGCACTTAGGAAAATCCACATACCAAATTTTAAAGTTCCTTCCAGTTGACGATTTAGAAATATTAAAAAATGTATTTTTTATTTTTAAACTTCTTTGACGAAGCCTTCGAGGAAAGAATGTTACATAGAAGACCCCCTTTAAAATGCGGTCGTCCTGTGTATGATGTTTCATCTTTGGTCACGACTTGTGAATCAGCCTGTATATGCTGGTCTTGCAAATTGACACTTACGGAAATGATTCGTGTGTTGGAGCTCAGAAGGACGCTACAGCGTACCTATAGGATAAGGTCCATTCAGGTCACTAATTCCAGCAAGCAAGGAATGTAACAAAAGCGTGTAGAAATTTAATAAATGTGTTCAGTGAAGATGTAGTTTCTAACAGAAAACAGGTGTTTCTAAAAATTTCAAACGGGTGATTTCGAACTGCCTATAGCTGATACATCACGCTGTGAGGGACCTTCTTTGATCGACGACGATGCACTGTCAAGGACATGTTAAGCCAAAATGTTTGATAACATCAAGAAGGCTTGATTTAGTTGAACAAACTAATTTGGATCATATTTTGGCATTAGGATTAGTGCGGAAATATTCGAGATGTGTGTCAGATGAGTTAAGTGAGAGGAGCTTCAATGTCAGATTAATGGCATGCACATATCTGCTTGTACGCAGTAGAATAGAACCGACTAATAATAGAGAATGAAAAGTACATCACGTAAGGAAAGCATATTGTGAATCGGGAACTTACTCTAACTCAATGAGTGAAAAGAAATTAATAAAACCAATTAACAATTTCTTTAGGCCCAATAAAAAAATAATTAACTATGTGACAACTAATAAGTTTAATTGGTTTAATTAAACTCCAATTCTAAAACAGTCTTCATGAATCTATGAAACTAGTTTAATTAAACGAAAACGCAATCGTTTAATCAAACCTATTAAACCGTTTCCTTGGATTTAGTACACCAATTTATTTAAAATTAATGAACTAATAAATTGAGTTTACCAGCTCTAAGTAAAACATATTAGTTATATTATCAAATTTGCTTAATTAGTTTGGGTAAACGTATTTGCCCAGTTTTAACGAATTACTTTATTCAGATGTAGAAGTATATTTGGATATTTGGAATTTCAAATAACAAGTTGCATCTCACTCAATGATGTATATTGTAACAGTGTTCTGACAAATCTTAGGTGTCAAAAAATTGATTGATGTTTTCGAATCGGAATAAATATAAAATAAAAATAACTGTAATAAAATAAGATTTTTTTATTTTCATTGATTGTGAACTTCACCAATTATTTGCCTGGTTGTCTAGAAAAAGTTATAATATATCACATATCCCTAAAAGCAATTCTTTGTTTTAAATTTAGAAAGCATAGAAAGGGATACCTGAAACTGAATAAGCCCACTTGATCATGTGTACAGAAATTGTAATTTTATTTCGAATAATAAAACAATGCACTCAACGCATTTAAATAACTTGACATCTCTTTAAACAAACCCTTCAAGCCCATGTTGAGCACATGTTTGGTATAAATGCCCTCCAGAGTCGGTAATTCAAATAACAGTTTAACTGTTTTTATGAAATGTTTAATTGTTTTAAGTGTATCTATTCTACATAAACTAAATTACCGGAACAAAAAGCGAATTAGCTTAATAGTGTATCACTTTCAATTAAACTGGTTCCAGAAAAAAAAATTCAATTTAATCAAACCAAATATTTTAGTTACTTGGCATAATCAAAAAAATCATTACAGAACGGGTATAACGTACAGTATGTTAACTTAGCACAAGTGGTAACTTAGCAGAAGCTGTAGTACGTTTTTTTGTTTTTTTACATAATAGCCTCCGATAATGAAATTTTGCAGCACAACTGTATAATTGACCACGTTGTCTCAGTGCTGTAGATCGAATTTGAGCCTCTCTACGTGGTAAACTTTTGAAGACCAATAAATAAGATCAGCTGCTGAAACCGAATGAAAAGCTCAATTCTAAGAGAAATACAATTTCATCTAGTAGTGTGGAAGATAATTTTCCGCTGTTCAGATTGCTTCGGATGTCGAGCTGCAAACGCATTCTTGAAGGAGAGACAGTACGAAAAACATAAATCATTTGCAGCCACTTTCGATTAACGGAAATTTTGACATTGCTCTGAGATTTTTTCCATTTGCGTAAATGATAGAATCCTAACTATCATACTGGGTGTACAAAATTAGCAAGAAGAAAAACAACACTAATGAAGATAGTGAAACCATAAGTGATATTGAAGATGTAACAAGTATATACATATAAGGTCAATTCTAAGAAGAAAACCTAAAAAGTCTGGACATATCTGTTGAGCATATCTGTATGTCTGAATTTTATTCCGCATGTGAACAATGTTACAAAAAGTCGTTTTTTAGTACTTCTTAAATTATAAAAAATTCTCTGTGAGTCATAATTATTTCAAACAACACATACTGCGACATTTTCGATTCAGTATCCGTTAAGCGCTTGTAAAAATCAAAAAATAATGTTGTAGATTAATCTGTAACTTGAAAAAATATGACCACCTTACCTCCTTGTTCATAAAAATGGAATGGCCGGCATTACACTACAAAAGTTCTTTGACAAAGGTATTTGATAAAAAAAGAGTTGGAAGCAGGGGCGGCTGGCCATTGAGTTCTGCAGACCTGCAGAACTGCCAAAACTTTTGTCTTAACAAAGCTTGGACGGAGGTAGGTGTTACAGATTTAGTGCACCTGAGAGAAAAAATTAAGAAGCATGAAAACTCTAAAACATATCTTCATAATTCGATTGAAATGGCTTTATTGGGTACTATTAACATCAGAGCTCAGTTAGATTCATAATGATACTGTTACAAAAAGCAGGTACGTTCTATAAAAAATAATCGATTGTATAAAATTTTGCTGAGCATTTGAATTAGCGCTACGGGGCCACGATGAAACCGAGAGCTCCCAAAACTCGGGAATATTTCGTGGACTGATTAATTTTTCTGCTGAGCTTGAAACAACCTTAAGCGAACACATAAAAAATGCTTCAATATTTAAAGGAACTTCGAAAGAAATACAAAACGATCTACTGGATTGTATTCTTGAAGTTTGTCATGAAGAAATAATAAAACAGATTAACAGAGCCTCGTATTTGGCGATAATAGCAGATGAAACAACGGACATTTCGGGGGAAACCCAACTGGTAACAATTTTCAGATACGCATTTAACAGCGAACCAGTAGAACGTTTTTGGAATTATATGAATCCCGAAAAATGTGACGCTGATACTCTCACAAAACATATTTTGAGCATCGTAGATCCATTAATAGGAAATTTCCCTAACAAACTGATTTCACAAAGCTATGATGGAGCCGCGGTAATGAGCGGACATAATGCTGGAGTACAGGCAAAAATTAAAGATATCCATTTGCTCACTATGTGCATTGCTATGCGCATCAGTTAAACCTGATTATGTCCCAAGCAGCTTCCGCAAATGCTCAAGTTCGGGTGTTCTTTGGGGATTTGAAAGATATTCCGAGATTTTTTAATAATTTTCCTCAACGCGTAGAGGTACTGAACAGAATTGTGGGGAAAAAATTCCCCAAGGAGCAACAACTCGTTGGAATTTCAATATTCGAACAATAAATGTAGTGTTTGAGAACAGAGAGAAAATTTCACTAATGAAACCGTTTGCAAGGCAGCTTGCGGTATTCACCGTATGCTAAACGATTGTTTTCGTGTTTTGGTTGATATTTTTTCATCATGTTATGCCTCACACCTACATCTTGTTCAACCAGTTGCAGAAGAGAAAAACCGAGTCAGCGCAAGTTAAAACGGCTATCGATAATTTTCAAAAATGTATTGTCGATGTGAGAAATGAAAATGATGACATAATAAATGAAGCCAAAAGTATTTGCACTGAACACCAGGGCAACAAAAGGAGACGACGTAATAATAGCAGTCACGATCACCGAGTTGCCGCATTAGAATATGCGACAACATAGTGAATTCTGCAAATGACATTTCAATTCAAAGATCATTTGGTAGCCGCATCCCTATTTTTCCCCGAACACTTTGGAGAATACTGTGGTAAGTTTCCTGATGACAAGTTGGAAACTACCTGCTTGGCTTATCCCGAACTAGAAAAAAGTCGTTAAAAGACAGAGTTGTCTGTAATTTATGCACGGAATGATTGCCGAGATTTACATGTGTCTCGTTTGAAATTTTTGATACAAAATAGTTTGGAGGAAACACTAAAGGAAACAAAAAAACTATTAGAAATTATTGTTACAACTCCTATGTCAACATCAGAGCGAAATTTCTCAACATTGAAAAGAATCAAGACCTTTCTTCGAAATACTATGACCCAGGATCGCCTTACAGCGTTGTCGATGCTGTCCATTGAAAAGAAATTTATTTCGACCATGGAAAATTTCAACGGTAAGGTGATCGACAAATTTGCTGCCAAGAAGGAGCGCAGGATCGAACTGACATATAAAAAATAGGTAAGTTCGGATTTGCAGAACACCTGTTTTATTTTGCCACGAGCCGCCACTAGTTGGAAAAGAAATGTGACAGTGTAATAGGCCAACTTTTATAAAATAAAACTTTTATAAAAGTTCGTTTCATCCTATGTTTGATAAAAGATTTTGCGTAGCTGTATCAAGATGGCTGAAAACAGATGATGTGTGGCACCTATGAAGCTGCTGATTTCCGAATATGAAAGGTTCCTCATATTATATGACAATTGTCATAGTGACTATAAAAATCTGAACAAACGTTTGGAAACATATAAGGCAAGAAAACGGACACTCGTGCACGATTGAAGACGTAAAAAAGAAATTGAATTTATTGGATGATGCTTGAAAGGGAGCACTGGGTGATCCGAGTGATACACTGGAGGCTAGTGTATCTCTGTCCCGTGACTAGAAATCGCAAAGTCAAAGTCAACATAACTTCTTGGATCTTCCACTGACAGTTCTTGGAGCAAACTATCCTAGATCCCCTCCAACTCACGGCAGGCGATCCACGGTTTGGCCTATATTGGCCTTCTTTTTCGTTGTTAAAGCTACTACAATGGCTGCCAAAGTAAAACTAGCTATGGCAGCAACCTGAACGTTGTCGTCCATTGCTGTATTTGCAATGCCTTCTTAAAATAGCTTATAAAATCTCTTACGCAGTGGCAGTGGCTGTTTGGCAGCCATAACATTTCTGTTATGTATAACTTTTGTAAAAGAAATTTATAAAAGATCTTTGTCAAAGAAATTTTATAGTGGAGATAATGCCGACCTAATCTATTTAAATTTCATTTACTTTGTTTAATTCATAAGCTTTTACTTACCTCAACCCGCTGATTTTTGAAAGATAAGTTAATGTTTCGTGGCTCTATGCACTCACGAGATATTCGCTTTGTTGATACAATAACAGTGCCTCCTCACATAACTTCATCTTTTACTAAATGTTTCACTTATAATGTTACTATCATGTACTATCTGAAAAATCGAGCGATCATTAACATACATTCATCTCTCTCGTCGGTTACATGCATTAAAATGATTCTATATGTATGTTTAACATAACGAGTATACTTTTCCCTTTTGTACAATTTTGATTTATTTTACACAATTAATTCGTTTTTATGTTGAAACCTCTACATTGTTAGTAGTACATATTGTTTTTATTGTTCATTTTGTGGATACACATTTTACGGGTTAATTAATAACTTAATCTAAACTTCGCCCGATGAAGACGTTTTATTATTATTATTATCAGAAAAAAAAGATGATGATGTTTAGTTGAAATGAGATAACTAAGCCAGACCACGCACTGCTTTGAATACCCTTCAAAAAATCGCAGAGCTAGAGTGGGAGATTATATGACATACCCCATACTTTCAGATCTAGCACCCTTCACCTATCACCTATTTTTATCGTTACATGATTTTTTGTAGGTTAAACAAATCAAGAAAACAAAGACGTTAATATCTAAACGGGTGCCGGATAATACACCTGGAGATAATACATACCTTTCATAAAAATTGAATATAAGGATGTAATGATGGAAATTATATTATTCGATCTAGCTTATCAAAGATGTGGAAGAAAACTTACTTTGTTATAATGTAAAAACAGACAACTTTCCGGCAGATCTAATAATTTTATACCATATACAACAAAGCGATATTAATTGGGAAATTTTGGCAAAAAAGCTCAGACAATCCTCAACTGAGAAAGCAATTTAATAATAATAATAATAATAATAATAATAATAATAATAATATTATTATTATTATTACAATTTAAAAGAACGGCAAGGCGGTCGTGCTAATGCGGATAAATTAAATATATAAAACATTATCGCTTCCCTTCTTATATCTGAATGTTTTAATGTTAAATGCCTTCACTTTTATTTGAATCCAAATTCAGATTATTAAATCCTACATTTTTTCTTGCAATAAAAGAAAATAAAATGATTATGAATATTTTTCAGGGCCGGCTACAGGCGGTAAGCAAGTGGGAGGAAGCTTTTTTGATCCTTTTCCTCATGGCGGCCAAAACTCTGAATTCGAGCACGGGCATGAACTTGCCTCTCCATTTTCAAAGGTGCCCTATGTGGTAGCTTTACGCCGGCTCCACACGTTGGCCCCAACGTTGGCCCCAACGCCACTCGCCCAACGTGTGTATCTAGAAAATAGCGTTGGCCCCAATGTTGGAGCGACCGTTGGTAGTTGGCTGTCGATTGTCGGTTTTATTCAAAGGAATCTGCGCCAACGTTAGCGATCCGTCGACATATTGGCTCACTGGCTCAGTCTTGTTGTAACACGCGTTGAGTGCGTATGTGGAGATATGTCATCAACAAAATCGCTACCCGCGTGGACAAACTAAACAGTTGTAGAATTTTTAGAGTTATATCAGGCGCATCCAATAATACACCTCTCGCAAGGACCATAAAAATAAAAATTTAGTAGCCGATGCATGGCGCAATATTCAACAGAATATGAAAATGATTTATTCTATTGAGGAATTAAAAAAGAAAGAGAAACGCTCATTGATGAGCACATATCGCCTATATCGAAAGAAAATTTTGGACTCTACTCGTTCTGGGTCATCGGTGGATGATATTTTTAAACCGAATTGGTTCGCCTATGATCTAATGGACAGCTTTCTTGCTCCGATTTATGATAAAACAGATACATACACGATTAATACAGAGGTAAGTTAAACATCAATTAATTATTACTTTTATTTATTTACACATTCATAAACAAAGTCATTAAATTATGTCAAATTGCTTTGGTACATAGTTTATTCAATGTGAGTAAAGGTATGATGCGAATTCATTTCTTATTTCTCTTGCATTTTCGGTGGCTCTTATTGGTGTTTGATCTAAGGACCTTAATTGTTGCTCTTGTAAAACATTATATATGTGACCCTCTGGCATATACATCCGTCGAGAGTACTCGGTGTTTTTTAAAAAATTATGAAGTACAACGCAAGTCAATAGATGCTTTTTCGGGTTGTAGCAGCATATTGGTTTTCAACACTCGAAACACCGATGTCATTATTCCAAATGCACATTCAATCACAACACGAGCGCGTGAAAGTCGGCTATTGAATTTTCTATTTGCTGAGCCAGCTGCCAGTAGATAATCCAAAAGCTCCATCTGCCACAAAAACATAGGGCACAGGAAGATGTCGGTCAGGTATAGAGCAGTGTCTTCCGGAAAATTGGAATTGGAACCATATATTTTGTTATAAAGTATGCTATCATTAAAAACTCCAGCGTCATTCATTCGTCCATGTGTTCCTACGTCGGCAAATAAAAAGTTGTATTCACTATCAGCTACTGCTAATATTATACTGAAATTGTGTTTATAGTTATCGAACTCTGATCCACTATTAATAGGTGACTCTATTTTTATGTGTTTGCCATATATAGCACCCAAACAATGTGGAAATTGTCATTTTGTTTCAAAGCCTCTAGCAACTTCAAGCCATCCCTGATCATTTTGAGGCATCTGAAACAGAAAAAAACATATGAAAATTAACCTGTGGTGTTTTGATTTTAGAGTATGAAGTTTCCTGACGAGGACAGCACTCAAAATAATTTGTCAGCTGGCGATACTTCCACACCATCAGTTAAAAAACGCAGAGAATCTGAAATTTCTGAAGTACGAGCTCAAATGAAGACAGCTGTAAATGTCCTTAAAAATATCTCAGATCGACCGCGCGTTGAAGTGGATGAGGTAGATTTATATTGTCAACTACTGGCCAAAAAGACTAAAAAAATTTAATGAGCCACAAAGGGAGATAATAATGCATGATATAGATGAACTAATTTAATATCAGTAGCCCTTCTAGCTGCAGCACATACTCGTACGCAAGATGTACCCCGGATTCCTTGGCACCTACACCATTCCCTTCATCTCAGGTTTTACAAAGCACTGTATACCAAATTGCTAATGATTCTGGCGATTATACAATTGTACAACCACATTATAGCCAAACAGAATATGTGACAGATCCTTCTACCTCCTCCACTTCTACTCAAAAGGTGGCAATTATATCAAATGACATTGTCTCACAGGCACTTACTCTCTCTCACATATAAACCAAGAATTAAGTGCTAATGAAAGATTCCATTTTACTTTATATTTTTTTTTTTCAGTAAATGTGTTTTTGCTTTTTAATTATGGTTTTATTTTGAACATAATATATAAAAAATACTGACCTTTACAAAAGAACGCAGTGCCTCACATAGCGCTTTACAGACTTCGGGCACGATCAGTGATATAACTTCTGGGGAAATCTTGAATAAGTAATGAAGACTTTTGAATGAATCGCCAGTTGCTAAAAAGTGTCACAGCAAGGCGTACTTTAGCTGGTATCGATTCTCTGAATACCGTATCTTGTTTTTTTGTTCTTGGTCCAATCAATTGTAGCAGGTATTCGAAGTCTATTGAAGACATATGGCAAAAGTTATCAAACTGTCCTGAGGGCTCTTGATTCAAATTATTTAGCAAAAGAGATACGAAGATGGTTAAATTAGAGAAATACTGCGCATTTTCAAGCCTAACAATATGCCGTTCAGAAAGCTTTAAAATTACGAGTTGTTCCGGAGGTATGCCTAAAAAATGCTATTTAATACAGGGCATACTTTTTTACGCGCCATATAAAAAAATAAAGTTGATGATGGTTTCTCCGAAACGAAACGTCGTGCGGAAAATCTCTCAACGCTGTTTTGTAGAGCTTAAAAAGTAGCCTTAAGAAAGTGTCTTTTGTTTTTCCATATCTCTTTAAATAACGTCAGAAAAAAATAAAAACGAAATCGGCAAATTTCGGTTTTTTAGGCATACCTCCGGAACAACTCGGAATTTTAAAACTTTCTAAACGGCATATTGTTAGGCTTGAAAATGTGCAGCTTTTTTCTAATTTAACCATCTTCGTATCACTTGTGTTTTCCAAGATCCTCATGATAGACATCCTTATCTTGGACACACTTTATACACATTATTAGATAATTTAATATTAAATTGTCTTGTAAAAATCTGCTAGAATGGAGTGTATGGTCTGTATTTACTGGTACCGTGTTTTATCATGCGTTGTCATCCACCATCTCCTTTGACGTGGCTTTTTCCTTTTTTTCAATAACAAATATAAATTATACGCACTGTAAAAGCGCTTAAAGCAATTGTGTCGGACATCTTCACATTGGCTCTGACAGAAAGGAACTAGTATAATAACCAACGTGTGGACGCTTCACCAACTTAACCGACCAACGTTGGTACGGCCTATAGATTGAGAGCAGCACATGAAAATGCTGTGCCGCTTTACTTTGGCTGAACGCGCTTAATAACATTAATAACTCGAGAAACTATGGACTAAGTATACACAGCATTGATTCCAAATCATCCATTAGCAAAAAAGCGAAGTGTTATTAAAACCTGCTCTTTCTTTTTTGAGATCGAATTGTGATGATTATTACCTAACGGTTCTGGAAGGTTTACTCTGATCCTTCAAAAACGGTTTCACTCATAGAAACGACATCTATTCATTTTTGTATTTAAAAGAACCTCTTGTTCTTGAAATTTTGTCTGGTTAACTTATAAGCCACCTGAAATTGAACTGAGCTAACTTGGTGAATATGAAAAAATATTTATTTCTCCCATAAAGTCCACCAACGTATGGTGAATACTGCGGGGAACGAATTGCTAGAAATTGTCGCGCGTGGCAACACCGCGGCACGTTCCTTTGGTCCCCTCTTCATGGCTCAAAAGTTTTGCTGTTAACCATTGCCTAACTGCGCCTGTGCCAATTCTCTCCCGCGGTGTGCAAGCATTGAGATGGAAGGGGCAGCGAGAACAACCAGCGAACCAGCTTTGCGCGGAAATATGGAGTTGGCGATGGTGGTTTCATACTAACAGGAGCATTGTTGCCAGACGTACAGATTTTACTGTAGATCTACCGTTTTCAGTCTTGCCGTCTTTCAGTCAGCCTTTCTACCGCAAAACGGTAAATTTATAGGCAATCCTTTTCACGTTATTCAGTTTTCACCATCGGGCTGCTCGGGTGACTGCGCACATATTACTCTCCACCCCGTCACCGTTACGTGATTCATTGTCATAGCTCTCATTTTGTGAATCTAATGCATTTTAAAGGTTGGTCACGCCACGTATACCGTTTTCTGCATTTTACATTTTTGATGTCAGCACTGACAAAATAAACTTGGGCATCTGATCGCTGCTAATATTCGCTTGTCGCTGGCTGCTCAGTAATAATGCGTATGGCGGCTAGAGCTTGAATACTTATCATGGAACCGTGCACAAGATTGAGGATTTTTAGGATCTGCCGCGCAACCCTGACACAATTTGCAAGCCTTCTGCTCTTCAACAGGATTTGAAAACAAGTTTTCTCCAATATTACAATTTATCAATCTTATAAAAAAATATTGCTACGTCTTAAAGTTAAGAAACCTACGGAAAACGAAGTTTGCTCTGGGTCCAAAAACAAAAATAGGGAGAAAACAAGTTTGGGAGACAATTTATGTTTACTATACCGTTATCGGTAACGCTTTAGTCTCTGTAATTACCAAAAAGCCTTTCATCACAGCCTTTAGTAGTTTCCACAAGCATGTAGTTTTTTGTAATTTAGCTGTTGATCGAAATTTTGGTGTTTAATTGACGTATTTGTGGATAAGCAAAGTTCCTTCTCTTAGCTTTGGAAAAACATACCTTAAAAATATAATAAATTGTTCCTATTTCTTATCCATTGCCTTCTTAAAAGTCTTGTTTAAGCAAAATTTATATGCGGCGGAGGTAAAATCACCTTTTTAGGATCAATTAAGCGCAGGAAGATATCGTAAACTTAAATTACCACACACAGAGTCTGTTCATTTCGGCTTATCTATAATCAAAGTATGCTTATCCGTAGTCTGCTGTCCCAAATGCAAAGAAAACAAACAGTAGCGTCAAAATTCCATAATGCTGTTCGGCGGGCTCATTTTTTTTCTGGAGGGTACCTAAATATGGAGGTAACTTTTCCATTTCTTCAATATTCCTGTTTTTGGAAAGAATTACACCCCATAGTATATGACTAATCCCAAGTAAAATTGTCCAAGGAAATCAAAATTCAATAGATATATAGTCATCATTGATTTGATCGAAATTTTTTACTGCTTCATTGTGCTGACAATTTATTCGAATACTTTCTGGAATAAAAAAATGGCCTTACAAAGTTGACTCTGGTCTTCCCACGCAACGCTCAGTCCGTAAAGGATTACGCTTGGCACAAGTGTTAGCCGTTCTGAGAAAAAAGTTATCTACGAACATGTATAACAAAAAATTAAATGACTTTCCTCCTCCCCCTGAGAGGAATTGCTGCAGGTGCAAATGCTCGTTGCAATGATCAATCCCGCGTGAAGAACGATGCTGGCTTTCACCATGCATAGTAATAATAATTATAGAGCATTTATTGCCCAACAGTAGAAGGTACCATCTAGATAGCAATACGTAGTACAATGGTTTAATTTACACAGTCTACACAGGCTGTGTACCGTAAAGAGGAAAAAAAACGCAAAAAAGTCAAAGATGTGAGTATAGCACTTCTTAATTCCTGAAATCCACAACAGAAGACACCACAAAAAATCCCAATCCTATTCACATTATTGTATAAAGTTTATTAGTGCTTTAGATAGAAGATTTCGTTGTGCCCCTTGCAGAAAAAGGAAACTTTATATTTGGATGTCAATCTAGGAAACAATCTGCAGTAGCAAAACAGGACAGTACCATGCAGTAATTTGTATAAAATATGATCGGTGAAAGTACACCAGGTCTATTCAATAATAATGAGTAGTCATATCCTCCTGTAGCATAGATATTTTTCACATTTCTTTTGTACTTTTTCAATATTATTTTTGTAGAGTTCATTAATAAGATTCCAAATAATTGCACCGTATCCTAATTTACTTACAACAAGCACTGAAAATAACTTAATAAGCGTTGTGATTTTCAGATTCCTGCAATTTCACTGATGTGGCTATTAAAGGTGAGCTGATAATCGAAATACACGCCCAAATCTTTGAAAGTTTCACACCTTTCTAATACAGAATCATTTGTTTTGTATGTGTAAGTTAAAAATTTCATTTTTCAGGTGAAGGTAGAAATGCGGCGTTTAGATTTGTTCAAATACAAATTGTTATCGATACACCATATTTGTAAAAATAATATTTTTTGTCGCATGTATCGACTCGACATCCGACTGTAAGATATATTTCTGTTTTAAGGGTAAATGTATGGGGACATCTATGATGAGTGAAATATGCCTACATGTGCGTAGAATCACTGAGGTTGGACGTGTATAAATATACCAAATTTCATTTGGTACTAGTGCCTTTGGCTCCTATTTTCGACATTTTGACCCAAAATTGACCATACCGCAGGGCGGCTCATGACTCAGATTGGGCTCTACTATTTTCTGATGAGTACCGATAAAGGCATGACTAATGTATTGTCTCGCTACTTCTGTTATTGGAAATTAGTATTCCGGTCCCACAATATGTGACTATTGTTTGATATCAGTGGGATATAATTTTGTTTTTTAAGCATTGTTTTTAGAATCATTTTTTGGAAGACTTCTATTCCTAAGTAATATTGTCCAAGAAATCCAAGTATGACCTACAAAATATGATCTAATAATTCTTTCTGCAGATCTTTCAGCCAACTGATAATTCGACTATTTATTAAAATGTACATAAGGGGAATCGATTAAAAAAGGAGTTAAAACAAGATGTTATAAACAGAAAAGTCATCCACTGCAACTTTCACGAGTACCGAATTCGTGTCACGCAGTATTATATCGTCATATTGGAAACGAACCTTTTTCAAACTACGACTATCGCGAAAAAAATTCAATAATTGGA